CTTGACCCACTGCCTTGTGCCTGCCGAGGCTCCGGGGGGGCCGGGATGCTCCCGCGCAAGCGGCGGCGCTTTCAGTCGCTCCCCTCTGCCTCCGCTGACCTCCACCACACCCCCAGAAGGCAGATGAATTATTTTCCAGGCTTGGTTCTAAGAGATCTTGGATCTAGAGAGGCCAGAACAGCAATTCAAAGCCTGGAAAATGTAAGGTTGGTTTTTTTTGGTTGTGGTTTGTTGTTTTGGGGGTTGTTTTTGTTGTTTTGTTTTTTTTTTTTTCCCCGTGTTATATTTTGTGCTTCCTATAGCGTAGCTGGAGACAAGAGCGTTGTTTCTCAGTGATGGGCCAAAAAGAGGTGAATGCGGAGAGGGAGGGCAGCTCCCTGCTGTACTAATACTTGATACACCAAGCTTCATACAGGGTAAATATTTAGCAGTTTGCAAGGAAATAGTAGATGGACCCTTCCTTTTAAAGGCACTATAGCAACCTTACTTCCGAAGCGGACTTCACCAGCCTTTCTCTCCAGGCGGAGTCCTGTAATTCGAATTACCAAAGTCCAATGGGATTGGACTCGTGAGCGTGCCAAACTGCTGGAGCAATACTTGTGAGCGGCAGGTTCTTCAAAAGACCAGCTCGATGTAGCCAAAATAGGGCAGTTGCTGAAAACCATCTCTGACGCGTTTTAAAGGATCGCGGTGGGGTCACGGTTCTGCTGTACTGTAGGAAAGTTGGGTCGCAAAGTCTAGAAATCTTTGTTTTCTCCGTTGGTGTGAAACCTCAGTCCTGCAATAGTGGGCTCGGGCTCATACGGTGCGTTGGGTTTGGGGGTTTTATTAACGGCAGTTGTTTAATGGTGGGATGGAATGTTCTTGCTAAAACAGTTTCCATTGTTTCATGTCTTCTACACCAATATATATATGGTGTATATATTAAACTGTGTAAAATTGTACTTTGTATATATAACTCTGTACAATATGGAGGTACATCCTTTTTTTTTTTTTTTTTTTTTTTTTTTTTTTTCTTTTGGTACAGTATTGTACAGTATTAGGAGTATCTGTGTTGGAAATGTTAAATCCATACTGGGACAACAAAATGTATCCATTGTCATTAGCAATAGTTTTGGAGAAATAAATGTTTTGGGTATGGTGGAAATCCTGAGCGACGGAGAGCAATAGTGATGTACGGAGCGAGCGGGTCTGCGGGCGCCGGGGCTCCGCTGCAGGCACCGGCTGGGAATTCATGGGGGGGAAAATTCCTCGGGAAATTTCTCTGAATAGCGACGGGCACCGGTAAGTGGGTGATGAGGGCGTCGGGGAACGAGCGACTGGAGTGGGGCTTCCAGCAGCACCGGCCGCAGGCAGAGCCCCGCGTCTCCCCCCGCCCCCCCGGCGTGCGCTCGCCTACCCCCAGGAACAGCAGCCAGTGGAGCATCAACTTTCCTTGCAGTGACCCGATTTAAAAATGCTTTATCGTTTTTCCTGGAGAGGGTGGGCCCTCAGCTGTCTCTGCGAAAGAGGATTTAAGGTTGAAATTATGGGTTGGGTCGTTCCTGGCTTTCCCCCAGCTCAGTTTTTCGATGGGGTTTGTTGAGAGCACGCTGGGGAGCGGTGTCAGGGCTTTCTCATTTTGGATTCTCCTTATTTAGCCGTCAAGGGATTCATTATTTACGGTGAGGTTTGATGTTGAACCCAGCCCCTTTGTGCCGTGCTGGAAGTCAGCTGGGGACACCATCCCCGGGGTGAGCTCCTGCGGGGGACCAGGGCGAGGAGGGGGCTTGGGGGTGTCCCCCCGCCACGTGCTGGTGATGGCCCACGTCTCCCCCACAAGCTGTGGGGGTTCAAGAGCTGGAAAGCCGGGATGCTTCTGCTCCTTCGTTGAGTCGCTCAGATGGCAGCAGCCTCAGTGGTGATGCCCAAAGCGGGCTGGGCACCCACGGCGGGCACGGCCGCAGCTGCTGGGCGATAGCGGCCTCAGGTTGCTGCTGCAGAACCTTGTTTTGCTGAAAAAAAAAAAACAGTTTTCTGCCCAGGGCAGGTCTACTTTGCAGCAAGGTGAGACAGACCTATGCCTCTAGTACAGAAAGTTGGTTGGTTGGGTTTTTTTTTTTTTAATCTGGGGGCTGCAGTTTGAGGCTGTCGCGGTGGTTTTGTCGTCCACCTTTGCAGAGGGGCCTGTGCCCCCGCCCCGGGCTGGGTCCTGCTGCTGGCGGGGCTTCAGCAGACTCCGGCCACGCAGCGTGGGAGCATCCTGCCCCGCATCCCTGTTAAACTGCCCTCAGACCGGCTCGTGCAGCCAAACACCCCCCTGGCGTGGCCCAAGGACGGCCCGAGCGCTGCCCGCCGGGGCTCAGGCTCCTCCGGGAGCAGCCGCAGAGCCGGGGTGAGCCGGGAGCCGTCCCCACTAAACCAGCAGCCGGGGTGAATCCTGCTTCCCTTCCGTCCGGGTGAGTCTTCAATTAGTCCTCATTGATTTCTGGGGGACGCAGGTGGCTTCTGGCATGTTGGTTGGTTTTTTTTTGTTGGTTTTTTTTTTTTTTTTGCTTTTAAAGCATGAAATAGGATTCAGAAAGGCAACGGGGTGACACAGATAACAAATGATTTTTGATTTTCTGTTAGTCGCTGCTGTCCAGCGACGCAGAGGAGGACGCTGCAATTAATCCCTTAAACCCTTCTGGTCACATCGCTTCTTCCCAAGTGCAGACAGGCCTGACCCAACCCTCCCCAACCCCTCCTGCTGGGTTTTAGCAGGTAACGGCCGTGGTGAGCGACGGGAGGGTTCAGCCCCTTGTGACAGGGCGCTGAGGGAGGGAAAGGGGATGCTCTGGGCTGGACCGTGGGGTCTGGGTGTGGGGAGATGGGGGACATGGCGAGGCCCCCCCTGGGCCCTGCGTGGCTTCGCTTTGCTGGGACGAACTGTGCTGTGGGCAGGGGCCAAGGCGAGTGTGCAAGGAGAGTGTGCAAGGAGTGTGCAAGGCAGACGTGCAAGGAGAGTGTGCAAGGCGGGCGTGCAAGGAGAGTGCAAGGCGGGTGTGCAGTGCAGCCTGCAGCCCCCCTGCAGCCGGTTTTCTGCCCCAAGCCCCCCCAGGACAAGGTGCCTGCTTGCGGGCAGAGCTGCCTGCTCGGCCTTTATTTTTAAGGCTTTGCTGCCACCAGCTGGAACAATTCTTTTTATCCCGAGCTTGGTTTCAAGGCCATGTGTCGGCTCCCGCGGGCTCTGCCGGGCACTGGGGTCACACGCGGGGTTTATCCCCCCCGTGGGCGCGTCTTGGCCCCGGGTCTCGGTGCAGGTTTGGTGCTAAGTGGGATTTACTGGTTTCTGACTGTGGCTGTGAACAGCCTGAGCTGGTCGGAGGGGGTCTGGGTGTCAGCTGCGAGAGCGGGGGGATAAAATCTGCTGTTGGGGCAACCAGGGAAAGGAAAAAAGCTGTAACGTGTGAAAAGAAACCAGAAGGTGGGATGAGGGGGTCTGAAAGGAGCTGGGCGCTATCACAGGGTAAAACCCAACGGGTGGGTTCCTGGGGTCGGACTGGGCTGTCCCGCTGAGGCCGGACCTGACAGTGCAACCCGCCGGGAGAGCTGCTGGGGCAACTGGGGTGTCCTGGGGCCCCCGGGCTCCAAGGGCCGGGGCCGTCCTGGCATCGAGGCGCGTTGGTTTCCCTTTCGGGCACGTCTGTGGAGAGCTCCGTGGAAAGACTTGTGGCACGGCCTGAAAGTAATCTTTTCTGGGTGTTTATAAACGATTTTAATTATTTTTTTCCTGTCTGTCTTTACCCCTTCACCCATCAGTGAAAGCTGAAGCAACATGAAAAGGTCAGAAGCCTCAGAAAATGCCCGACCCTGGGTTTTCTGCCTTCAAAAATCTTTGTTTCGGTTTCTTTCTGCAGCGAGGAGCCGAACCGCGGTTGGGGCCCGGGTGCAGGGGCTGAGCACGTGTGGATGAACCGTTGCACCCGCAGCAGCTCTTTGCCTTTGGGCAGCTCTAGAAGAAACTCAGCGGGAATTTCCCTCCGGAGGTTTTACTTGCCCCTCTCCCTTGTGTTAACTGCTCTGATCTACAACTCCAGTGGTGGCCTGAGATGAGAAATGAGCTGCATTTTCTTCTGCCTGGGGAAAGGCTTCTCAAGCATCCCCAGCTCAAACTGATAATCTTTTTGCCTGGTGAGGGAGGGACACTGCACGGCAGCACGTACCCAGGCTGCACCCCAGCGTGGGAGCTTGGCCCGTGTTGGGTGGGTCGACTGATGGTCCCGTGTGGAGTGGGACAGGCACAGGCTGAAGTACAGTTACCACACGCATAGAAAATAAAAGTTGGAAATGACTTCAAGAAGTCCCCCTGTCCCTTTCTCTTCCTCTTAGCTGAGCAAAATGATTTTAATCAAAGTGATTTAAAGTTTCACTTCGTTAGACTTGCGTCACGCTGCTTCCGCGGCTGCAGCCCGTCCCTGCTGCCCGGCGCCAGCCCGAGACGCCGGGCGATAAGCTCAGGGCAAGGGCCAGCCCGTGCCCAGCAGCTCCTGGGCGGGTTTCTCGAGCAGACTCACACGTGACCGGGAAATGAAGCTCAGCAGTAATTAGCAAACTCAGGCTGGTGAAGCGTCTTAATCAATTTTTGGGTGCACCACAGGCCGATGTGTTCACGTACCTCTGCGGTCTTCGTTTTGTGAGGACGGGGCCTTCAGACACACCCAAACCAGCCCGCAGTAACTCCTGCCCGTGAGACCCTGGCTGCGGGGGGAGGCTGGGCGAGGCGTGGGCACCGCTGGGCTGGGAAGCGAGCAGGAAGCGCGAGCAGCCTCACTCTGCTCTGGGAAGGCAGCGGGGCTGTGCCCTGAGCACCCTGCATCCTGCATCCCACACCCCACATCCCACACTGCATCCCGCATCCTGCATCCTATCCTGCATCCCACATCCCACACTGCATCCTACATCCTGCATCCCACATCCGCATCCCACACTGCATCCCGCATCCTGCCCTGCCCCTTGCGCTGCATCCCAGCCCGCACTGTGAGCCCTGCCTGCTCTCCCGGCTGCCTCTTGCCCTGGCAGGGGGTGCCGAGGATTGGGGGGGGGGGGGC